AACTTGTCTGTTCCCCTTCCCCGATTCCCCAACGCTGTTCCCCTCCCCTAATTCCCCAATAAAATCTTTAAAAAAAAAAGTAATCATGTGAAATAATTTAATGGGTATAAGACAAAAAACCGACATGAATGTAAAAATGTTTTCTTTTAGGTCAAATGTATTAATAAATAAAATTTGCATAAGAATGCTATTTGCTCTACACACTGTAGCTGTACTATTTCACAGCAGTCTTATGACATATTGCTTACCTGCCCCTCTGAACCGCTAAGGCATCCAGTTCATCAAAGAAAATAATGGAAGGGGCCACGGCCCTTGCTTTTCGGAAGACCTGGGGGAAAGAACACTGTATTAGCTAATGATCAGCAAACTCCAAAATAGCTGGTTTCAGTTTGAAAACTGTATTTAGAGCTAAATCTATTATGTACAAGCCAACCAGCCCAATCATTTTGTTCACAACCTACAACAGGTGCGTACACACTCTATAAGGATGTCAGAGCATCTTCTTCCACGGTGCTTACTTGTGAACAGAGACAAGACAACAGCACAATCACAGAGGTGTGTAGGAGGCAACCAGGCTGAGCGACCAATCTCAGCTACAACCCTAGCCCACTCACACAGGCTGCGTGACCTGCAGCGAGCAGCTAACTTTCCTTGTCTAAACTTCAATTTCCTCCTCTATCTAAACAGATAATGATAAGTGCCAGCCTCAGAAGATTATTTTAAGAGCTGACGAAAATAAGAATGCAAAGCATTTAGCACAATGTCTAAAACATGGTAAGAGCTCAGTAACTGATACAATAAACACATCTTTAAAAGAAAACCCATAAATGTATAAAATTAGCCATAGCTTAGCATATAAAATACCCATAAACTCAAAAGCCACATGCCTTGCTCATTTCTATGAAGACTGTATGGGAACAACAGTTGGTATAAAGCCAGGACAAGAAAAATGGCCAAAATTTGAAAGAGCATAGGCTGGTCAGACCAGAAGTCAGACTATCAACATCAGAGGCTGGCCAGATAGCAGCCATGGGACGGTATGTGGAAACGGGCTAGAAAAAGTCAGCATAGGCACAAGGAAATCCAAACGTGTCTTACCTGTAGCCATTTTCTTGTCACAAGTATCAAGACCATAAAAACACAAAACTGTTACCTAAACATTAATATTAATAAACATCACCTTTTTTCATATTTTAATCAATGATGGTGCTGTCATTATTAGTTAATGTCATATACAGTTGCCATCATCTACATTTTAAAGGAAAAAAAAGACAAAAGGTAACAAGGTGTTTTCTCAGATGAACAAGGAAGCATTCTAATCTCCAATACTCGGGTTTTTCACAGATGGAGACCATCCACTCCACTGCTGTCTGTGTGCTCCTGCCCTCCTTACCTCTGTAAGGGCACAGGGAACCCTGTGTGATGCAGGCCAGCTCTGTGAGGACACAGAGGTGGGGGTGGGGGTAGGGGGGCCTGTGTGACCCTGGCCAGCCTCTGCCTATCTGCCTAGGAAAGCTCAAATTATGGTGGTCACCTGATTCCAGTGCTTTGTTCTACAAGAATTCACCACATGCAGTTTCCACAATATGGAGTGGCCCGTCAATTAGGCACAGGTTTTAAAACTTAGGAGAGGAAGGGGTGCATTGTCTAAATCACCATGCTAAGGTAAATAAATAAGACAGGAGAGTACAGTGGAGTTTTCATACACTAAGCTTATTCTATTTAAAGGCCTACCTCGTTTAAAGGATTTAAACCTCATTCTGAGATCATGCATTCTTTGCAAGTACAGACATATCCTTTTTTTTTTTTTGAATGAAATGCTGATACTTGTTTTAAAAAATCTTTATTTGGTAAGATTAAAGGCTGGTAATACTAAAATGTTTGAAAACAAAAACAAAGTATTGTAGATGATCAAAACTGCATTTTAAAACAATAAACTAATATCTGTCTGAAGAAAAAATATACCACTAGAATTTAGATTTGGAGATTTCAAAAATCTAACCCAAAACAAAACGGACACCATCCCAAGGACAGATGTGTGGTTCTGCTGCAGAGTCCACTTTACGGGTCTTCTTACCTCTCTAACCGCTCTTTCGGATTCACCAACATATTTATTCATCAATTCAGGCCCCTGCATGAAAAGAAAACTGTTCAGTTCTTTATAAATGCAACCATGTGTACATCTTTCAATGAAAAACATATATATATAAAAGAAGAAAAAGAAAAAATAAACAAATGTCTGCTTCTAGTTAAATTAGTTCCTTTAGGATGCTTATTTTCACTGGGTGTTATTTGTGCCTCAAAAAGCCATTCTAAGTTCCAAAAACTACACATCAGTACAAAGGAAAAGCTGTGATTATATCTTGTTCATCATGTGTCTACCCACTGGCCCACATTTCTTTATATCAGGCATGGTGCTAAGCATTGAAAGGTGGACCAGCCCCATCAGGAAGATCAGCAAAGGCAACACCCAGGATTCCCAGGGCGAACCAGTGGCTGGTCTTAAGGGGTCCACTTGTCAGGATGTGTTGAAGTCCACTAGATCAGCAGCCCTCTCTGACAAGAAGCAAGACCTCAGGCTACTCTTTGTATGGCTCCATGATAACTCCTGAAAATGGAACAGGGATCATGGAATCCATGACATGATCTTACAATATTTTCCCAAGTATTGCCAATATAAATGCTGCCCTAAAGATCTCTGCCCTCACTTCACCTGGCCAGGTAAACATCGACTGTATACATCTTCAGGGCCGTCTGCCCTCATCTGATGTGGCCATGTAGACACCGACT